CTTCCTTTACACCTCAGCATTATCCTGAGTATCATCTAGAATTACACTATCTTCACCATATATAAGATCCCACAAATCTTGCCCTTGTAGAAAAGCTTCCTTACATAGCCTCTAGTAGCTATAATTATCACTGGTAAGATTGTCTACACAAACATTGCTTCTACCGTTCATCTTCACCGAGTATTAAACTCAAGCAACGAGCACTAAACTAAAACACAGAAAAAAGAACAAGGACGCTCTGATACCATGTAACAAAAACGAAGAGAACAACAGTGTGAAAGCAAGAGAGAAATTGTACGAAGGAAGAACTTCTATTTATTGAATTGAGATTGTTACAAAGTATTTACATGAAAAGTAAATAATGGACCACTAACCCACTACTTAGGTCATTAAGCTTAAACTTCTCTTCCATTAACACCATTATGCCACTAAGTCACCAACCCAAAAATTACTTTTCAAGTTACATATCCACTCACCACTACTTAGTTAATTACCAACCATTAAATTACCCACTAAGCATAACTCCTAAAAAATATGGAAACACTAAGAATTAAACTAATATCATGTTTGCACTAATTCTTAACAAAGTTACGTGACAGAAACTAAAAGATGTGACAATTAATGTTGAAACTTACTTACATTAGGTATGAAAATGAGAAAAAGTGTGTAATAATCTATGGTTTCTAAAAGAACAAAGTTTGTTAGACAGCCGAGAAACAAACTCTCTTAGGCGAAGAAGATTCTTAGGGGAAAAATGAAAAGTTAATTGTCGSATCTTTTTAGATTATGTCATGTCAACTTTTCATTCAAAACATTTAACCGTTCTTTGTTAAAGCAATATTTTTATACTATTTATGGAAGTTCAATAAAAGTACTTAAAATTTTGAAACAATAGTATTTTTGTAGCAGAGACAAAGTTCAGATATTTCTTTTTCCTTTTTGGTAAATTTTCCAAATTATATATGTGTATATATATATTATATATATATATAGCATATATAAGAGATTTTATGTATGTTGAAATTGTTTTGTCTTAAATATTAGGCTAAAAGGGTTAGGAAAACTTTGGGTGGTGGGATGAGGCAGATTGGCATCCTTTGCTCTGCCGCACTTGTAGCAATAAAAGAGAATCTTCCAAAACTTGAAGATGATCATCACAAAGCCAAACTACTTGCTAGTGAGTGTTCACTTTCTTCACTAATTCATATCTACATTTTAAATTATTCACTTTCTTTTTTCTTATTTTATTTTTGGTTAATTTAGGTGGATTGTCTGAAATCAATGGATTAAAAGTGGATCCGAAATCAGTTGAGACAAATATTGTGAGTATCCTTRATAAAATTGAAATCTTTCGAAGATTTATTGATAGATGAGAGCATGCTTTTAATTATTGTAAAAAAAAATGTAATTTCTTATATGAATTATCGTTCATGTTTGGATACAATTAACTGCTTTTAAAAAAAATTTAAAACACTTAAAAAGTAACCATCATGGGTGGCTCATTAGTCTTGGGACACAAAATGTTGGAGGGCTGGACGATTTAAAAGTATCTATTTTAGGTGATTAAATATCATCCTCTCACCTCGATATTTCAAAAAGTAGTAGAAAAGGAATATCTATTTGCAAAATTAGCAAACCACATTTCAATTTTACAAAAATAGTATAATTTGAAGGTCTAGCCCATACATAATATATAAAGAGTCTAATTTACCCTTAAATAACATTTAGCCCAACAATCATAATTAATGTAGTTAAAGGTAAATCAATTATAACTTATATACCTTGTATGTATTATATCAAAGTAAATTAATTTTAATGAAATACTGTATTTGAATGTTGGTATATAAATGATATACTCGATATATCTGATTTTATATATCATTGATATATCTAAAAAATCTAGAAGAGTAAAATAAATAAAATAATATATATATATATATATATATATATATATAAAAACCGAAAATCATATTTAAGATATTTTTGGTAAAATCCAAATATTACAAAATATGACAAATATTTTCCTTATTTAATTATTGATACATATGTGTGTTGAAATATGATTGAGTCGTACCATTCATATACCTTATTTACTTATATATATATGTGTTAATATACCATTGAAAAAAATAATTTTATATATCATTGATATATCCAATTTCAATGCTAATATACTAAATATATACTTTATATTAAGTTTTACTTCAAAAAAAAAAGCTCATTAGAATTTTGGGTTAAGGAGCAGAAATTTTAAATTTTAAATAACATTAGAAAAACTCYTTCCTCGAAACAGATGGAACTATTCAGTCGACCCTTTTTACAGTTGTTATCATTTAGAATTAAAAGACGTCTTTCAAAATTGTTGGTACATCTAATTAAAGGATAAAGTGGTACACTGATCTTTAACATTCAAGTAAATAAAATATAGTAAGGTTTTGTCTAAAACAATTTTTTTTTTTTATAGAGTACATCAGTTATAATTGATACATACATATTATATAATACATTAAGGTAAATCTGCTATAACTAATATATTTTATATAAACGATTTACCTTATTTGATATAGCATGAATATATTTAAAAATTTAGACTGTTAAACAAATTTAAGACTAAATTTTTGTATCCCTGCAAAAGTATATAAATATAAGAAATATATAAGTGATATACTTTGTAAAAGGTCAATTAATTATGACTGATATAATTTGGTGTACAAAATTCTAAGTATATCAATAATAATGATCTACTATTGATATGTGACGTACTTTTCTATAAGTTTTAAATAAGTTATAACTAATATACATTGGTGTATTTCATTACTAAGTATATTAGTTATAACTGATATATCGAATATGTAGTACATTTGAATTACGGTATATTAGTTATAACAAATATACCTAATATATCGTTGATATAATATTCGAATATGGTATAACARTGATATACTTGATATATCTAATATATATCACTTATATATATGAAGCATTTCGAATAACGTATATAAATGATATATTTGATATACTGATTATGAAGTATATCAAGTTACATAAGTAATTGATGATCAATATCTGATATACTTTAATGATACAAATATAAACTTAATGGTAAATTGTAATAAGCAAAAGTCCGAAAAAAAAAATCAAATATTTTATCATATTTGTAAATTTTAAAAGGGTTACCATATTTGAAAATATGGCAAAAAATTTAACTACCCATATTTCTTGTGTATTTATAAATKGATCAATTTCCATTTTGTTTTTGTTTTTGTTTTTATAATTTTCTTTTAGTTGGGAATATCATTACAAAATCTAAAACTTGTCACTTTTTTTTCCTTTAATTTTTTTATGACCAGATATTCTTTGAGTTAGAAGACGTTGACTACAAAATCTCAGTGGAAACATTGTGTAAAAGTTTGGAAGAACGAGGCATTTTTATGATGCAAGAAAGCTCAACAAGGTCTACTCTCAAATCCAATCCCTTTTATATTGAATACTTGCACTCAGAATAATTATTTTTTTCAGTGTATATAGTATATAAAAATTGTTTTGGATAAATTAAAAGCAACTTAAAGTGCTTTAAGCCACTCAAAAATATTTTTAAAAGTATAGAACATAATATCAAAAATTAGGCACTTTTATGAAAGTTTATATAATTAAAATACTTTGCCAACCTAAACATACCTCAACTGGTTAAGGCACGACTTCGACTCTTCACTCCCACGAATTGTACTATATATATATAAAAGATTAGTAACATATTTTTAAAATACTCCCAAGTACATCTTTTTATGCAAACTGTTGAAAAAAAAAAAAGAGGTTTGATTGTCTCTTGTTTCATGCTTTCGTTTTCAAAAAAGAAAAAAAAAACATTTCCTTGTCCTCTCAAATTTTAAATTAACAAAATAAAAGTTTTACATAAAAAATATGTTTTAAAAAATTAAAAAATTAAATTGTTATATTTAATTGTTGGTATATACCATCCATTTTAAATTATTGAACTAATAATTTTATTTATGTTTTTAAAAAATTTAAATAGAAAACAAGAAAGAACAAATAAATTATTTTCCCACTTCTTTTATATACATATGTACATATGTTTATTATTTTTAAACCAAAAAGACAATTCTCCAATATTTTTTAGAAATAAGAAATAGAAATATTACCAAAATTTACACATACATATTTTCATTCATTCATATATTTCTCTTTTAGATGATATGAAATTTAGAGGATAAAATTCAAATTTAAGTTTGAGATACATCATTTTTCAAGTTTAGAATTTAATGGAATGAAACTTTAATTTCAGGAATATTAAAATTAAGTCGGAAAAACAACTGTTTACGAAAATTGAAAAAAAAAATAGAGGGTATTATTCAAAACTATTCTAATAAATTCATTCATCCAAGTATATATATATATATATATATATATTATGTTCCGTTTGCTGTTTGGTAATGGAATGAAACTTTAATTTCAGGAATAATATAATATTTTAATATGAAATCAGATGTATAAATATAATCCTTTAATTAAATCAACTTATAAATTTAATCTTCCAATGAAATAAAAAAAAAATGTTAATTCATTTATTAAAAATGTGTGTTTAATAAGTTTTACTAATATATTTCTAAATAGTGGGAGCTACTAATAAATATTTAGTTCAATCTAAATTAATATTAATTCATTTATTAACGTTTTGGTCATAAATTTTGCACAATTGATTATTTTATAATATTATATACTTTATAATAAAATATTTTGCACGTTTTAATTAAAAAAAAAAGAGTTTCACACCATGAAATAAATATATTTATCAAAATTTTTATCTTTGTTTTTTATTTTAAAATATAATTATGCATTTTAAAGTTTCAATTTCAAAATCTGAAAACACTCCAACAACACAAATATTGTTTTTAGAATTTTTACTATTTTGATCACGATCGAAAATACTTTTAAAAAATAAACGTGACAAAAGCATATTCACGGAATAAATTGATTAAGTGGTTGTAAAATGATGTAGATTGCCATCCAAATACTTTTCAAAAATATTATTGTTGGACTAAAATATATTATCTAATATATCTCAACCTAAGATTAAATTCTCACCCTGTATCTATGATATAATATAATTCCAAAGAAAACTATTGAATTTGTCGTGGAATTGATTCATTATTTACGCATATTAATTTTTGCAGGGCTAGAATTGTTATCCATCATCAGATATCAATAAGTGATGTTCATTATACTCTATCTTGCTTCCAGGTGATCCATATTAATTCTTAAATTCTTTTAATAACAATATTTAAATACTATATTTATTTATTTATTTTTTAGTACTACTATATTTAAAAGTTAGTACGTCTTTTAAAATAGCAAAAGATCACACGTTTTTTATAGAATAATTTGTTCACTAAGATCTAGATTATAATTTTGAGGAATTTAAAAACAAAACAAAGTAATTAAAATTGTTTGAATTTCAATTAAATAGTTAATATTTTTTTTTTATCAAGTTATAAACTTACTCCTTTCACTTTGGCCTTTTGCAGCAAACACTGAGTGGAATACAAGTTGGAAATGGCAATTAGTCACAATTCTCTCTAATAAAAATAATGAAACTCTCTCCCCCTAATAAACAGAGTGGAATTTATCCAGAGTGTTGTTTCATAATATAATCTTCATGTGCTCATGCATACGCTAGTGTGTGTATATATATATGACAAAAAAGATATTTTCTTTGTTATAGCATATTTCTAATTCCTATATTTTGCTATGGTGATATTTTATTTTTTTACTCTTTCCAAAATATCAAAAACAAAAAACAACGTCTACGAATAAAAATGAATTGAAGTTGTCACTCAATAATAAAAGACAAAACTCATGTTTCACTGTAGGCATTATGCATAGAAAAGAACCAAACACTTGATTTATTTAAATTTAGCCATAGTCCAAAGGATTGGCAGTCAACTAAAACAAAAGAAGAGTAAACACGAAGATTACCTTCTACTTTATTCATACACTCAAAAAACACAAGAAAGTGAGATAAAACAGAGCAGGGATGCACAGTAAAACTAAAAATAGGAAGTTTGTGGAGGGAACAAAATACTCCCCAAAATTATTCATCAAAAGGGTAGTGATTTTTTATTTTCTAGATGCGGTGAGTGCATCACCCACTTAGTTTATTTTCTCTTGGATTTGCTTGAAAGATAGCATCATGTACCACAAAGTTACACATRTTAAAATGTTCATAAAATAAAAGACTGAATTTAAATAAACATTAAACTCAAGTAAACAACTTCCATCCTATAGATTTTACTTTTAAGAATGTTTGGAGGCTAGCTTCCGACTTTCGACTCTCCTTTTGGTCATTCGATCTTTCTTCCGCTACTGTCTGTTAAGGACAATAATGTAAYGAAAAACGAAGATGAACAATAGAAAGGAAGCAAGATAAATGTTTACAAATGAAGGATTTAATTCATAAATGAGAACTAGTTACACGTATTTATAGGGAAATATGAAAACCGATCACTAAGCCACTACCCTTGAATTTCTCTCTCCACAAGTTTACATCCACYCACCACGTATCTCCATAATGATATGATATTGTCTGCTTTGGGCATAGTCCTCACGACTTTACTTTTGGGTTTACCCAAAAGGCGTAACAAAGTGTCACTTGTATCTTGCCTTGAATAGTCATGCACTCATCTACTCTCGACAACGAGAGTTTGCTTTTCTATCCAACATTTCAAATAGATCACTTGCTACACGGACCAACGTTGTGCGAACACCAAGTGTCGTTCTATCACACCTTCAATCTCCTTCCATTCCGTGATGGCTATTAGGCTTACCAGTCACTATTCTTTAACCCTCGAATAAGGAAAATGGTACCCTCGTACCTTCAAGTATCTCCATGAAAATGATAACCGTTATGGTTTTGCTTTTGGTTTCACCCAAAAGGCTTCATACCAATGGACATAATTGTCTTCATCTATATACCATGGATCACTCTCTTTCCTAACCAATGTGGGACTCTGTTTACACACTTTACAAACCCAACAATTGTTGGGATAACGGAGCCGAAACAGATGACTCATGTCCTATGAGAGGAAGACTTTTCAACACTCCTACGATTCCTACAARGAGTAGGATATTGTTTATCTTATAAGGATTACAATATCGTTTTTTTTTTATAAGGTTTACGATATTTGGCTTCGTACAAATAAAGTTCTTTTGTTAAAGTTTTATTTGTACAAAATCCAAATGTTTTGATGATAACAAACTTAATTTTATTTATTGAGACTTTTAGTATTTTAAAGTGTCCACAACGTAGAGCTCGTTAAAACAATTCTAACGACTGTTGGATAATCCAAAAATTGGAGCTCAAATAGAGAGGTTACGATCAAAACAAGTTGGAAGAAAGATAAGAAGACATGGACAGTTCGTAGGCTGACRAGCGATAAACTTATTTTTATCTATAAATTAAAAAAAWTATATATATTAAAGTTACCTAACAATGACTTTTTTATTAAAAAAAAGGTTTTACATCATGTTAGCATTAAATGCTAACATGTGTCAAGTGATTTAAAAAAAAATTTCAAAGTTACGATTTTCTCAAATTTCAAACAATATATATATATATATATAT